TCTGATAATTTGCCGTAAATTATCCGTTTTTTATCCGTGAAAAGAATTATTTTGCCGCGGACATATTTCAAAAAACATTTTCTTTTCATAATTCTTTTCACGGATAAACAACGGATAATTTACGGCAAATTATCAGATAGTTAGTTTGGGTTTAGCTGGTTTCCTTCATTGGTTTTCAGAAGGTGCCCTGCTAACTTCCACGGAAGTTAGCAGGGCACGCGATATTTTTTAAAATGTTTCCGCGGCAAGATAATTCTTTTCACGGGTAAACAACGGATAATTTACGGCAAATTATCAGATAGTTAGTTTGGATTTAGCTGGTTTCCTTTATTGGTTTTCAGAAGGTGCGATATTTTTTAAAATATGTCCGCGGCAAAATTATTCTTTTCACGGATAATTTACGGATAATTAACGGCAAATTATGCGATAGGAATTTTTGCTTTGAGAAAAAGTTGTCCTGCCAAGTTCAGAGAGGTAGTGTAGCCCGCCTTGGCTGTTACATCTACATCCTCTTGATCTAGTTTCTCGGGAAGGGTGCTGTTATTGCAGAGGAAAGACTTAAAGAAGTCGACTCATGCATCGATGGTACTTTACGATACTTAATTTGGTTGAGTTCGACGTTGCACCAATGCAAAGCATTAGCCTCTTTTATTTCTAAACTATAATTGACATCTCTACTTTTTACTCTTAATCCAACGTAGGTATTGCTGCGCTTACAATGTTAAATGCCTTAACATTTTCAACCACCGAGCGTACATTTTCTTAATGACCATTTTGCTTTTCATTGCAATAAATTGCATTTTTCCGTGCTTGAAGGTGATTTTCAACCGGCCATGCTTTGAAGCCATAAATAAGATAAAAACAAGGAAACGACGAAGAAGAATTTGCAATATTATAAAAAAATAAAAAGGTATTTGAAAGGAATACCAAACCAAGCATAGCCGCAAACGGCAGCGCAAGGCAAGGCTTTAATAGATTTCCTGTGGGCAAACGCTGTGAAGGACATGCGAAAAATAACTACAATTGCACATGCAGACTAACTATGAACACAATGCTCAAGATTTTTAAATGAACGTTAGTAATAAGTGAAAAGTAGTTCGTAGTGGTTAGCTGAAAAATATATATAAATGTGAAATTCCATTAAATTGATGGTCGCTAATGAACGTAATGAAGGTGAGCAGAGAGCATATTGAGCCCCAATAGAGTTTTAACAGCAAGTAATTTTTAAGCAAAAAAGAAACCCGCTTCAATTTCCATATACAAATTTAAGAGTTCAGTTAATTTCTTCATGATCCAATGATCTGATCTAAGCCAAATTAGTATGGGACCTCTTTCGAGGTACCACCTTTGAAAAAAGAATTATAACAATCGTTTAGCGTGGTCCAAATTGTGCGGTAACATACATAAAGAAAACAAATATTCCGACAAATTGATAACCTTCTCCTCTTTTGAAGTCGGACAAAAATAGCCAAAGTGCAAATTGGAGCAAAATGATATCGAAAGAAGTAATTTTTAAGCAAAAAACAAAACTAACAAAAAGTCTCAAAAAAAAA